GGGCAGGAGGGGGGACATCTCCCAGCCAGAAAATGGCTGTGGAGGTGGGCAATGGGGCTTTGCCCTGGGCTAAAGCATTGGCACAGCCCACCTGAAAGGCTCAGTCCTGGGTGCTGCTGTCTCAGTGTCCGTGCTTATGCTTGGGAGAGCCAGGCAGGGGGTGGGTGGCCGGGGGCAGGGGGTGCCCCTTGGGCTCCCCTCCATGGGCACAGCGCACAGCAGAGCACCCCAGCACCTCTCCTGGCACCTCACCTTGCTGGCACGGTACGGGTACATGGGGGCCTCCAGCACGCCGAGGCACAGCCCGATGGAGCCCAGTTTGGTGGAGACGTTGATGACTGCGGCCCTGCTGCAGCTCAGCCCCTCCTGCCCCGTGCCCTTCGCTGCCTTCTCCAGCAGCGGCAGAAACTCCTGACACAAAGACACCCGGGCTTTGTCAATACGTGACAAGCCCCGAGCTTGAGGGGCCCTGGAGGCCTCTGTCACAGGCCGTGGACAAGCGGCTGGACAGACACCCCCAGCAGAAGGACAGGGGATTGGGAGGATGCCCCATGGAGGGGCCAGGCTCCAGCCTTTCCCTGCCCCAGGGAAGGAGTGAGCCGGTACAGCCAGCCTGGGGTGGGCAGGAGCTCCAGCTGGGGAGGAGCGATGCCTGGGACATGCTGGGGCTGGGCAGAGGAGATCCGTGGTCCTGGTCTTGCCCCCATCAGTTGCCTCATTCGAGAGAGCAAGAACCCACCCAGCTGAGGGCACCTTTCCCACGGGGAAATCTCCCCAAGCAAGAGAGACCCAGAACTTCCACAGGTACCTTGGCAACCTGAAGTGGTCCAACCACGTTGGTGGCAAACACGGAGAGCATCTCATGTGAATCCAGGGAGCGCAGTGTGGCATGTGAGCTGATGCCCGCATTGTTGATAAGCAGGTTCAAGCCCTGGTCCTTCAGATGAGACCCCACAGCCTGCACGGCCCCTCGGATGCTGGGCAAGTTCACTATGTCTGCCAGGGCAAAAAGCAAAGTGAAGAGCTCCAGTGGGCCACGGAGCATCCACTGGAAAGTGTGCTGTGGCTGGAATGGCTCTCTTTAAACCAGCATTTTCCAGAAAGGAAGGACCAGGTTTAGCAGATCAGGGTGTTAACCACATTGAAATGAGCAGCAGTTTGTCCTCACCTCTTGGTTTCTCAGCCTTAGCTGAATGAAACTTCAGCTCCCTTTTGGTCATATGGAGGCTACTGGTAAGAAGAACTTTACATGTATTTGCTTTCTGTAATTGAGGAACTTGTGATTACACAAGGGATGCTCAGCCCTTGCACAGTGAGGCTCCCAGTTTTATTTCCACCAGAAGTCAACACAGCTGGATGGGCACATTTTAAGGGTAGACACCATCTTTGGGGAAGCAACCTAACTATGTTCTTCAAGCCCTTCTGTATTACAGAGCAGCTACAGGGGCTGTTAACACAGGGTGGGCACATTCACTTTATTGCTGAATTACATGAAGATCTTTTCTAGTTGATGTCTATTCTGACTGATCATTTAGAGCTATCTTTGACTTTTTAAACAGTATGTGCCTAAATTGGTCTTCCACCAATTTCCCATAACTTTACAGCCATTTCTATGCAAAAATCCTTCCTTTTGTCTTTATTTAGATTTTTTTTTCATCACATTGTTACCAACAAGGATTTGGAGCTGACTGATGAGCTGAGGTGAGTACAAGTAATAAAAGATTTGGGTTATAACCTGCAGTATTTGTTTGCAGATGCTGAATCTGAACATTCTCATCTCTACAGATGCTCTGGATAAGTTGTGGGGACACCCCCTCTCAAGCAAACAGAAACAACTGAAATGGTGCTAACAGGGGTAAGCATTTATAGTGCCTTTTCCTTCACTTAAATATTGGTATCTTTTTGAAAAATCTGCCATGCTTTAATTGCAGGATGTTTTGGCTAAAGCAACAGGGGTGGTATTTTTCAGTTTGTCTGCAAACAGACAAACTGCGTTTGCTTGTTAGGACTTGCATCCCCTACCAGGTGCTCGCCCCACTGAAGTGGCCATTGTTAATTTAAAAGGGGTCATCTAAACACCTTCAGGATCTGAAATGGGATGATTAGGCCAACACTAAACTTTATATATTGCCTTTTAATATCCCAAGTACACCAACAAGTCCTTATGAACCACGAATATTCACGCGTATAGGCATGCTGGAATATGCCTTTTCTCCCTGTGCACATTTCTGCACACATTTTTTGCAGATGCTAATCTAATGAGCCTGCTGTCTGGGGAGATAGCAGAGCTAGATTTCCTTTTTTGCAACACTTTGGGCCCCAAGCTGCGTTTCTGTTCTCATACTTAGACAAGACTTTGTTAGCAAAGATTTGCAAGGCTGAAGACTCCCTTCCCAGAGTATTTTGTACACTGATGAGCAGCAGAAGAATCCTTTTTCCTGGCATTTTTAATAATGTAAAGCCTGGTGTCTTTATGGTGCTAAGCAAGAATTTGAGCGGCCTGGAACTTGTTACCACCTTGCCTTGTGCAGCACAAACCTTTATAGGGATGTCATGAAAAGGTCTGGAGGGGATTTGATGAGATAATCTGCTGTGGGGCTGCCATACATGAGGGGACAGAGCCTTCGGATTCGAGAAGGATGTGCATGGCCAGCTGCAGGACTTATCACAGGGTGCCTTCTAGTGACTTCACTTTGGATAATGATTGAACCGAGTTCAAGGCTCCATTACTCCACCACGTGTGAGGGATTTTTCAGGTACTTTGGTGAATGATTAACTGCTCTGTTTGGACTAGCTGAGTGATTGCTCCAAGAGGACCAGGCATGTGGGACCAGCACATTTCTAGTGCTAGGCCAGCCAAATTTGCGGAAGGAACAAACTCTTGTCTTCTTGGAAGAAATAAGAGGATAAGGTGAAAGAAAGAAGGTAAGGAAGGAAGGAAGGAAAGGAAGGAAGGAAGGAAGGAAGGAAGGAAGGAAGGAAGGAAGGTCTTACGCATTTTGGTGTTAATTTCTAACTTTCCTTTCTGAAAAGTGCATTCCTGTTACTGGTTTGAAGCCAACCTTTCCTTACGATGGAGAAAGACAACCTGAAGCAGCTTCCCTTTTTTTATAAATACTTTGTTGCCGTTGGATTATTTTAGGACTATAGTCTTTATCCCAAAAAAGTCTGGGTTTAGGGGTGTATGTGTTTTAGTAAATGCTGTTTATTTAGTGGTCAGCCCCTTGAGATGTCCCTTTTTATGTTGGTCATGCTTTGGTGAGCAAACTAAGCGTGCTCTTCCTGTCCAAGTACTGCCAGTTGGGGCTCACAGGTAATCTTAAAGATGCTATTTTTAATCACAGGTGTTGTACTTTAATAATCTATTAATAGTAAGAGGGAGATTAGCTCCCTCTTTTTAGTAAAGCCTGACTTCAGGAATGCCTTCTTTGCTAAGAAATGCTAAAAATGTACTGGAACTTTTCAGGTGCTTTTGAACAAATAAATAGGTAGGTAGAGACTGATACGGTCTTTCATTGCCTTGATTCAGTTTTGTTATTATTTGCTCTAAGGAAGTACTCAGAAGTATTTAGAAGCTCTGGCTGCTTCCCACCTCACTTATTACAGCGACGGCAATTCTGGTGCAGATGCTTCCCCCAAACACTTTTTTAGGTTTGGATACGTTTTTTTAATCAACTCTTCTTTAAAAAAAAGTGGTTGTGAGCAGCCTCTGCTCTCTCAAACAACACCATCCGCCTCCTCAAGACACATCTGCAGAAAACCACATTCCTCAGCCTGATACTCCTTATCTCCCCATGCCTCACTCCAATGCTGGTCTCCCCAGTGAGCCCCTATCCCTGCCCAGCACTCTGGAAGCTTCCTGCCTGCAGATACTCCGACTTTGGCAACAGCAAACTCTGCCCTGGCTGCTCTCCCTTTTCTCCTCCATGTCCCTATGCTGTCCAAGTCCATTTGCCAACCTTCTCCTGCTGCTTCCCAATGCTGCTGACAAAGGCCACCAAATCTGGCCCACCTCCATGGGAGCAGGGAAAGGATGAAGGAGCATCTCCCCAGTTCAGGCTGCAGACATCCCCAACTGGAGCCTGCCTCTGGGTCTGAGCATCAACCTGGGATACCAACACCACCACAAGGCCAGATTTCCCATATGCATCCTTTTAGCCTATTTCTTTTCTTCTTATTTTATCTGCTGTGAAGGAAATGCCAACTGTAGCCACCTCCAAGACCCCAGACCAACCCTCATACTTAGGAACCATCCAGTAATGTCACATGCTGTGCCCTGCCTTGCTTTGCTTTGTGAACCTGCATGTCCCAGCCCAAAACTGAGGCACTGTATTTAGCATTTTTGGGAACAGAGGTCATGCCTTTCCCATGAAACTTGCTCAGCTGAGGTGTCCAGACCCACCTCTGCCTGTCTCTGAAGCCGGTTTGACTGCTTCCAGCCAGAGGACAGATCTGCTTGGAGGGGGAAGCCTACCCAGGTGTGCACCAATCCCTCCCTGCCTGGCAGGGCTGGAGCTGCCTTGCTGCCAGCATTAAGCTGCCCCCAATCCCATCCCCAAAGCAAGCAGAGGGCTAGAAGCAATGTCGAGTGCAAGGAGGGAGACTGCTCCTTACCTAGCTGGACCAGTTTGATGATGGGGTGCTGGGCAGCTAATTCTTGCAGGGCCTGGAAACAAAATGATGGAGCAAGGGATGGGGTTAGAAGTCACCAGTGGCATGTCCAGGTCTGCCACCCCTGCTCCCAGGTCACCCCAGCTGAGCCAGCCCAGGGTGGCTTTGCTTTTGTTGGGGAAAGTGTACAGGGCCGTTCCCAGTGGACAGGGCAGGGTGGCAGCCCCGCAGCCAGCAGGAGAAGGGTGCTGCAGGGCTCAGGTGCTGCTCCCCATCTTGGGTGATCACAGCATGGAGAAGGGGTTGGCCAGCCATCGGCACTGCCACGAGCAAGTGCTGAGGACATGGGCATCGTGTCTATTCCTCCGGCCTCATCCCACCCACTGGGTCAGGCACAGCCATAACCATGGGGCTGGGGGGTTATGAGACCCCACCAGAGCACTACTGCCCCCACCGCTGGACCAGCCAGCCAGGGCCAAATCCAGCAGCAAGCTGTGGGGACCGTGAATTCCCTTTGCCCACCTGGCTCAGGACCATCCCCATGCCCTGCACCCACACTGACCTTCCCTCTCGGACCCTCGGGGTGGCGGCAGGTGGCAAAGATGTGCTGGGGGGGCCAGGGGCTAGCAGCGAGCTGCCTCACAATCTCCAGCCCAATGCCCCGGTTGGAACCTGTCACTAGGACGCTCCGAGCCAGTGCAGCCATCTCTGTGGCCTCCACACCGGGCGGTGACACACGGCAGGATTGCCACCTGCTCATCATGAACAGGAGCTGGGCACAGCCCAGGGTGTGGCTCCGGGCGCCCACGGGGACCATGCCAGCACCAGCCCTGGCCCCTCGCCTGCCTAGGGCACAGCCAGGGTCCCAGGGTGGAAAGGGCTCCCTGTCATTTTGGCACATGGGGCTGCATGTCTCCTGCATTACCCAGTTCCCCACTGCTTCACTCCTCTAAAGCCCCAGCTCCCAGAGTCCCTGTAACCGCAGGAGAAGGGTCACCTCTACCACAAGCTTGGAAGGAAGCTTCCACAAACTTCCCTAGGAAGCACAGGGAGGGCTTGTCTAACACTGCAAGCTCAACTCATGACAGTCCTATCACCCAGAAGTCAGCAGAGAAGACCTCCCGGCTGCTGGGGCTCCAAGGTTGCAGCCACCAACTTTCTCCTTGCTGGAGGACAATGCTGGATACTTATCACCCCAAGAGGTGCAAAGCCAAGGCTCCTGCAGCCCAGACCAGTCTGGGAGCAGATTTTAGGAGGCAGAAGTGAGTAAAGTGCTAAAAGAAACCAAGAGCTGCCATGTAAAAAGCCTCAGCTGAAACAGAAGAATTGGGGGGACCTGAATTTAAGGTACAGGAAGAAATAAGAAGAGGAAAGTAGTGGAGATGGGTCTGTCATATTGGATGTGGCCAAAGTGACATATCTGTTGCCCAGACTTGTTTAGCTTGGTCGAGGAGACAGAGCTGACTATTCCCCAACTACTTGAGAGATTGCAGGTCTGGCAATCACCGAATACTTGGACCAGCAGCTGGCAGATGGTAAAGGGGCTCCAAGTTTGGATGGTGCGCTTTCAGGTGATACAGAGCATGGAGAGGAGGAAGCAGTGAAGTTTCCTTCTGTCTTGTGGGTAGTCTATGGCCCTCATGAGAGGTAAGTGTGCTGGGCGTGGATTTGGATAGTGTTAAAAGTCAGACCCACGGTAGCAGCATCACTGAGGTTGTACTCACCCACGCAAGCAATTGCACTGCACAGACTTGCCTGCTCCTGCTGTTATCTGCAAGCAGCATCCAGAGCAGAGTTCCCATTAGGAACCAACAAGACTGGAGTTTCCTCTTTTCCTTCCAGGCTTCTTGGGAAGGAGACAAGAGACACAAGCAAAGAGGGCTGCAGGACCAGAAATGGTGGGAATGGCCACAGCCCAGCATCAAGCTGAGGAGGGCAAGCAGCAAGTGACCTCTGGAAATGGCTATCTGATGGCAACCGAAGCCAAGCAGGACAGCAGCACAGACATACTCAGGAACCACAGCTGGAGGCCAGAAGGGATAAGACCAATCTACAAGATCCCAATGCTGTAGACACACCTGGGTACAATTCAGGTTGGAGAGAACCTGTGAGGACTTTACTTCAAGCCCCAGCAGGAAGAGCAGGTTCAGCAATAACTCCACATCAGGTTCCCCAGGGCTTGAACCTCAGAAGCCTCCAAGGACCCCACACCCTCCCTGGGCCACCATTTCAATGCTCAACTATCCTCACCATCAATTTTTTGTCAATGTGATACCTCCTCTGTGTATGTACTGTGTCTCTTGGCCTTGGACTGCAGGCTCCTACCCCATCAGCTCCCCAGGGGCATGACCAGAGCATGTGCACCATGGAATAAAGCCTCTCCCTGCATCTCAGTCACGACCTTGTTCCCTCAGACCCTTGTAAAGGCCTTGCAGCCATTCTTCCCCCCCAAGAGGAACGTCTGTGGGGCTTTGATCAGCACTCCAGCAGGCACCTTACCCACCATCCCCAGACACCTCCCTCTCCCTCACAGGCCCTTCTTGGCCCGAGCCTTTTGGAGGCCCCGCTCACTCCACACCTGCAGGGAGCAGAGCTGCGCCCGGTGGGCCCCGGCTCATGGTACTGCAGCGTCACTGCGCCCCTACGGTCCCGGTCCCCACAGTGCCGCCTCACAGCATGGCTGGCACTCCTAAAATGGCGGCTCCCTGCCCGGCTTCAGCCCGGTTGCGTCACGTGAGCGCCGCGTCCTGTCATTGCA